CACCTGGGCACTTCAAGTAAATACTGATGTGGGCTACAGTGAACAACAGAATCAGAATCTCCATGGGTGCAGCCCAGGCCTTTGAAAACCCCCCCAGGCAGGTGCCGCTGGAGAATGGTGGACCAGCCCAAGGACTCCCTAGGCGCTTGCTCACAGCAGACATTAATGATCACTCACTTTACCTGGAGCCTAGAAGCAGGCCCAGAATCCATCCATGATGGCCACCCCACAATCCATCAGACTTGGCATGAGAGATGACATGCATGTGCCCTCTTGGACTAGAGAGAAATGGGGTAGGATCTACTCTCTTATTTTAGAATCCAGCCTATGAGAAAATGCTTAGAGTAAGTGCAGCCCAGGCCTCAATCAGGCTCACACAAATGTTTGTTTTCTCAGGTCTTGGTTTAATGAGGTGTCGACGAGAACACGTTCTCATTTGGCTTAAGACTGGAAGGACTTTAGTTTTGATTTAGCAAACTGGCTCTTGCTCCCACTACGGAAAGAAGGGGGTGGGGTGGGAAGCATTTGTATGTGTTCCTTTTTTCTTCCCTGATTACCCCCAAAAGAGCTTTCAAATAATCTGCTAAGTATTGAAGTACTGAAGTCATAAACTAGTTGCAAAAAATCGGCTTACTGGAACAACAGGAAAGACATTCTTTTGCTTTTCAAAGGCTTTCCCATCATCTAGAGCCAAAAATATTATCTTCTGACCCAAGAAGCCACTAATAAACCTTGTTTCTATAGGCCAAGCAAGAGGGATGATTTTGCCCTAAGCAAAAGGGCAAAGAGAGCAAGACTGTTCTCTGGGTCCTCCCACCCCCACTTCTACCCTCTCCCACCTCCTGGCACCCTCCACTTCCAGTGGCACCTTCCACTTCCCTCCTGCCCTCGGGCTTCCCCGGGGTCCCCACCAGCTATCCCCAGAGGCACTCTTCCTCCCTAAGAGCTCCCTGGCCCCAAGTAAAATCCCCTTCTTTTCTCCATCCGCATCCAAATTCCAAATCCCAGCTAGCTGCAGGCTCTACCTCTGAGCACCGTCTCAGCACTCACCCTCCCTTTGTGAGACGGTTTGTGCCCAGAGCACCGTGCTCCCTTCCATCTATTTGGGAGTGTGGGGGGTAAGAGGAGGCTGCCTTCTGGGGGCACACTGAGGAAAGCCTGCAGTAGAACCCCTGCATAACTGGGGGCCATCTGTTGGCCTGATGCACAGATAAAGTTTAATTACCAGTACTGTATTTTTTGTTACTGATCCACTGAAAAGCTTAAAAAAAAAAAAAAAAAGGCTAAAAACAGTAAGCTTCAGTTATGAAGACAATTCACTTATGTGAGCCTTAGTCCCGTAAACTGCAAGATAAATTAAAATGAGATGGTATGTACTATATTTATATTTCAAAAGACGAGGCTGTTGTCCCAAATTAACCTCTAAATGGTAGAGCGGGAGAGTGGGGGGAGCAGGCATACAGCTAAGCCCTTTGTCAACTCCCTGCCTCAACAGGCCTCAACCCACTGTGCCACTAAGAACCTCAAAGAGGGGCGCCTGGGTGGCTCAGTCGGTTAGGCGTCTGCCTTCAGCTCCAGTCATGGCCCCGGGGTCCTGGGATCGAGCCCCGCATCCTTCTTCTCCCCTGCTCATGCTCTCTCTCCACAAAAATAAATAAAATCTTAAAAAAAATACCAACCTCAAAGAGATGAGTAAAAGGCACCCCCTCTTCCTTGTTTGCTAAACTGACCCAGGCCTCTGTGACCAGCTAGAAGGGTTAAGAACACTACAGGAGGTGAGGAGCAGCTCTCCAAAAGGCCACACACCTCTGACTCTACATCTCTGCCTGTAAAATAAAAACATCACCTCCCTCCCTCGGGACTCCTAGCAGGCTTCACCGGTGGCCAATGACAGTAAAAATGTTTGTTATTTATAATACCCAATAGCATGCCGTGTCTGCGAGGACAGAGCCCCAGAGCACAGGGATTACGTTTTTAGAGTGTGATACAATTGTGGGTGGAAAAACTCCAATCGTGACCTCCTTCTCAAAACACCAGAGTAAGAAACGGAGATGGACAGGACCCTCAGAGGCCATGAGTCCGTCCATGTTCACCAAGGCTTCCCATGCCCTCAGTGGCTGTGCCTTCCCCCGGCCCTGACCCCTAAATGCTGGAGCTCCTCGGGGCTGCAGCCCAGGCCCTCTGCTCATCTCAGCCCACGTTCTCGCCCTGAAGGCCTAGTCCTTGCCTGGCTTCAATTACATCTCAGCTCCCTCATGTTGATCAGCACTCAGCCCAGACCCTCCTCTTGCTAGAGACCTGTGGATCCAACTGCTTACTTGGCAGAACCACCTGGATATCTTAAAGGTACCCGTTAAAAACTGAACTCAGCACACTTCTTCCCCAGCCCCACCCCAAGCTGGTCCTTCGCCAGGGCTCTCCATTGCATCAGTAAACGGCCATGAGCCTCCCAGCCACATGAGCAGGATCTCTGGGACATAGTCATCTCCAAGAAAAATGCATCTCCAGAATATACCATATGTTGTTAAGGGAAAAAAGAAACAATGTGAAACTGCATTTAATAGTGTGCCATCTTTTATGTATCAAAGGGGAGAATATTTATATATAGACATATGTATGTGTATCCACACCACACACACATATGCATTTGCTTATGGTTTTTTTTTAATTTTTTAAAAAATGTATTTATTTGACACACAGAGGGAGAGAGAGAGCACAATCAGGGAGAGCAGCAGAGAGGGACAGGGAGAAGCAATGCGGGGCTCGGTCCCAGCACCCCGGGATCATGACCTGAGCTGAAGGCAGACGCTTAACCAACTGAGCCACCCAGGCGCCCCTGCTTATGTTTTCAAAAAGAAACAAAAGAAGAGTAAATCAAAATAATAAAAATTATTACCTATGGAGGAAGGAAGGGAAGAGAGTGGAGAATATTGAGGTTAAAGGAGACTTTCAATTGTATCTTGTATCATTTTGACTTTGGGAGAAATACTGTACATAAACATTTAATGTAATTTTTTAATTAAATTAAAATGGGAAAAAAAATCCCTAAAATTCCAAAAAAAGTTGAAGCAAATTAGCCTAACTGTATATCACAATGAGAGTATAACTATATGAAGACAAGAATTACTAAACCCAGTACTCTGACCATACATCCCTACTGGGATATATTCTAAAGCCAGAAAGAACCCCAAAGAAATCTTATATTTCATTCTGAGTCTTAATGTTAGTAGTAAAAAACAAGGTAGTTATTTTTAAATTATAATAAATATATTGTAAGTGTGTGCAACAGAGTCAACATAAAAAAAACCTGCTATCTTTAGAAAGCCTGGCTGGCACCTGGGAAATTGGATTTTGGGTGGTTTCCACAATTCCCAGAACTGGTAAGAGTGACTCACTGTACCTAAATCAAACAATATGGTTTATGCCGAATACCTACGTTCCTTCTGGAAGTCTGGAATTCTGGTCCATAAGCAGAGGGTGTTTATGTGACCCGTCTCCAAGAGAAGTCCTAGGCAATGAGTCTTAAATGAACTTCCCTGGTAACAATATTTCACACAATGTGATGAGGCTCCCCTTGAAACCATTTGAGCATAAAAAAACCTAAAAACTTATCAAATATATTAAAATGTATGTTCAAGGGGTGCCTGGGTGGCGCAGTCGGTTAAGCCTCGCACTCTTGGTTTCAGCTCAGGTCATTATCTCAGGGTGGTGAGATCGAGCCCTGTGTCATGCTCTGTGTTCACGGTGGATTCTGCTTAAGACTCTCTCTCCCTCTGCCCCTCCCTCCCATCTCTCTCAAATAAATAAATCTTTAAAAATATATATATATAAATAAAAATACAAATATAATGTTCAAAATGATGTGAAAATCAAAGCTTCATTGCCCAAGACTGGAGGTTGCTAGAGTCCAAACTCACCTGCTCTGAAAATTAATAAAGGGAAAGAACCAAGCATTCATCCAGCCTTTACTATGATATGAAGAGCATTTCAGAATAACCATACAGGTAATGAGGAAAAGGTCTTCTTCATCGAAGAATTCCAGCCAATAAATGCACAAGGAAATAATGGAGCTCAGCAATGGATTCTGAAAACACTTAGGTGAAAGACTGGTGGGGATTTTTCAATAGAAGGATCAGCTAACACCACCTGAACGCACTGATCAATCGGAATCTCTAAATGTGTGACAGGCAAACACCACATGCTCATCGATGACATACATGTAACAGGAAGTCCACAGCACCAGCTAGGAGGTGTTCTCACCAAGTAACCTGATCTGAGTTCACTCAAGCATCTAGATTGAACTTCCTATTCATAGGAAATACAGGGAACAGAGAAACGGGTTAAATGACACTGCACAGAGGCAATCAGCTAAATCCTGGAGGTGGATACTGTAGATGACAATGACCCGCTTTCTCCAACAAATCAGTGTCATGAGAAAAGGGAGGGTGGGGGAGAGAGGGTGATGGAAGGAGGGAGTATGCTACAGAATAAAAAGACCTATAGAATAAAGTCAATACAACAAAAAGCCAATCTGATCCTGTCAGTGTCTTACCTAAAACCCTCCGGGCCCCACCCACGCCTCTCATCATGTCCCTCTGTGCACTGGCCACGGTCATCGTCGTTCAGTGACTTGAACTAGACTAGGGTCCTTGCAAATGCAATTCCCCTGCCCCAGGAAAGACCAGATCCTCCCCCTGGATATGCACCCTCACAGTGCTCTGGGCTTCTCATGGAAACATCCACAAGTGTCATTTCTGCCCGTCTCTCAAGGACTAGAAGCTGCATGAGGACGGACACTACAAATTGCTGCAGACTGACATGTAGCAGGCAGTAAATAAAAATCTCCTTAACACGTGTGAAGAAATAAAGTACTGGTCACATGGTTCAAAGCCACTAGGCGGGAATCTGACAGAGTCCTAACTGATTTTCTCTGCCATGGTATCTGTTTTTAAGACCTAGAACCCAGTCTGAGGAGCAGAGGCTCACAGGGAAGGACTCACCACCTCGTGGGACTTGGGAACAGGTAGGATGATGGCCAGCACACAGATGAGCTGGAACATGGCCCCCAGGAAGAGTCCGTACCGCAGCAGGTTCTCCAGGAAAGTAGGCTCAGGCACCTCGGGAGGTGAGAAGTCCAGGTCAGAGGCCATGGCCTCGGCCACCTGCTGCCTGTGGTCTCCTCTGAGTCACCACTCTCCAGAGCCAACTTCTAAACACAAAGGTTAAGTATCACGTTTCTACAACTGACTTTTATCCACTGGCACAAACACATGCATACTCGCAAGAATATATAAAGCGGTCACGGTGAGATGTTAGCAGCATGTAAGCCGGAGCGGAAGATACATGGACAGTCACTGGACTATTCTTTCAACTTTTTTGAATATTTGAATTTTTTCCAAATACAAAGCTAGGGAAAATAAGTAAAGGGAAAGACTTCAACAAAAATCTCTAATCGACATACATTTGAAGGTCTGATACGTTTCAGGTTTTGTTCATTTATTCATCCAGTTATTCATTCAACACATACCTGCTGAACACCAAGCACTGGAGAGAGAGCAAAAGAGACAAACCCCTGCTCTCTTGGGGCCTACATCTCAGGGCAGAGGCCGACAGCACAGCCGGACGTGCTGTCCCAGCTGGTGACAACGGCGCTGAACAAAACTTGCGAAGGGCACTGTTTTATTTTGTACGGGGTGACAGACAGGAGGGGCTCGCTGAAGAGAGGGGAACTGAGTGGCAGAGACATGAAGTGTGAGAGTAAGCCACTGGAACATCCGAGCGAGGCATTTCCAGGCAGAGAGAAAAGCAAGCGTAGAGGCCTTGGGGCAGGGAAATGAGGCCAAAATGGCCAGAGGAGAGCGCTCAAGGAGGGAAGACCAGGGAGAAGTGCAGGCTGACCCCACTAGGACCCTGACATTTCTGGATTGACTGAAGCCACTGAGGATTTTGAGCAGAGGAGTGACATTATCTGATTTACATTTTGATTGGTGGGGAGAGGGGCTGCAGGGTAGAAAAGGGAGGCTGGTGAGGAGGCCACTGCCAGTAACCCAAGTAAGAGATGCTGGGGGCAGTGGTAGCCAGTGGTGGCAGGTCCAACTTCAGCCAGCCTGTCCTTTCACCAGGGCCCCCACTCCTAATACCCTGGCCAAGCTGAAAGGACTGCCTGTAGTTCTCCAAGAGCATGGGCTCTTTCAAAATCCTGGGCCTCTGCCCAGGCTGCACACTCTGCCAAGAGTGCCCCCTTTTCCATTCTGACCACTTGGTGAAGCCCCCATTCTACCTCCAAGGCTGAGCTCAAGTGTCACCTCCCCAACATGCCTTCCTTATTGCTGCCTCCTACCCTGGTATGACTGAACCACTTCCCCTCTACCACGGCATCCACAAGGGGCTTCCTTCCGCCCACTGCAGCAAGAACGGGGCAAACTGACTCCGGACGCAGGCCCACCTGACTCCAAAGCCCTCTGTGTTTTCAGAGATCTGCGCCACAATGCAATTTCTGGTTAAATCTGAGCTGTCCAATATGGTGGCCATGAGCCACTTGTGGTTCTCGAGAGGTGAAATACAGCTGGTCCAAACTGAGATGGCTGTTAAGTCAAATACACACTCAAGTTAGGACATAGCAGGAACATAAACATGTAAAGTACCCCATTAATGATGTTTTTATATCGATTACATGTTGAAATGATATGCTGGATTAAATTGTGTTATTAATTTCACCTGATCTTAAAAAAAAATTGGAGGATTTACTTTCTGATTTCAAAATTTACTAGAAAGCTACAGTAAGCAAAACAGTGTGGTACTGGGATAAGGATACAGATGAATGGAATAGAGCGCTCAGAAATAAATCCTCACATAGGTAGTCAACTGATTTTCAAACAAGGGTGCCAGCATCATTCAATGGGGGAAGAACAGTCTTTTCAACACATGGTGCTGGGAAAACCTGCAGATCTACGTGCAAAATAATGAGGCTGGAACCTCACACCATATACAAAAATGAACTCAAAAATGAATCAAAGCTCTAAACTGGAGAGACCACACTATAAAACTCCTAGAAGAAAACATAGGAGAAAATCTTCATGAAATTGGATTTGGCAATGATTTCTTAGACGTGACACCAAAAGCAAAGGCAACAAAGTAAAAAATAAATTGGACATCATCAGAATGACTTTAAAAATTGGTACATCAAAGACACTATCAAGGGAGTAAAAACACAAACTGGAAAACTGGTTGTTTCTCAAGAAGTTAAACACAGAATTACCATATGATCCAGCAACTGCACTCCTAGGATATACCCTAAATAACTAAAAGCAGAGGCTCGAACAGATACCTGTACACCAGTGTTCAGAGGTGCATTCACAACAGTCAAAAAAATGGCACCAACCAAGAGCCCATCAACAGATGAACAGATCAAGAAGATGTGGTACATACGTACAAGGGAATACTATTCAGCTATTAAAAGGAGTGAAATTCTGACACCTGCTACAACATGGATGAACCTTGAAGACATGATGCTAAGCGAAATAAGCCAGACACAAAAGGGCAAATGTTGTATGCTGCCACTTGTAAGAGGTACCTCTATTAGTCAAATTTATAGAGCCAGAAACTTGATATAGGTTAGCAGGGGCTGGGGGAGGGGACTGGGGACTTAGTGTTTAATGGGGGACTTTCAGCAGTTTGGGACGCTGAAAGACTTCTAGAAATAGACAGTAATGGTGGTTAGACACCACTGTGAACGCCACTGAACGACACACTTAAAAAATGATTAAAATGAGGGCGCCCAGGGGTGCCTGGGTGGCTCAGTTGGTTGAGCGACTGCCTTCGGCTCAGGTCATGATCTCAGGGTCCTGGGATCGAACCCTGAATCGGGCTCCCTGCTCGGCGGGAAGGCTGCTTCTCCCTCTCCCACCCCCCCTGCTTGTGTTCCCTCTCTCGCTCTCTCTCTGTCAAATAGGTAAAATCTTTAAAAAAAAAAATAGTAACTTGATGAATAATTTTAAAAAAAAAAAAATGAGGGCGCTTGGGTGGCTCAGATGGTTAAGCGTCTGCCTTCAGCTCAGGTCATGATCCTGGAGTCCTGGGATGGGAGTCCCGCATCAGGCTCCCTGCTCCTTGGGAGCCTGCTTCTCCCTCTGCTTCTCTCTCTCTCTCTCTCTTCCTGTCTCTCATGAATAAATACATAAAACCTTTAAAAAAAATTGTTAAAATGAAAGGAAAAAAATGGTTAAAATGGTAAATTTTATGTTATGTATATTTTACAATTTAAAAAATTTCCCTTTTTCTTTTTACTTTTTATTTTTTTAAAGATTTTATTTATTTATTTGAGAGAGAGAGAGAGAGAGAGAGAGAGCACATGAGGGGGGGAGGGTCAGAGGGAGAAGCAGATTCCCCGCTGAGCAGGGAGCCCGACGCAGGACTCGATCCAGGGACTCCAGGATCATGACCTGAGCCGAAGGCAGTCGCTCAACCAACTGAGCCACCCAGGCATCCTTCTTTTTACTTTTTAAATGTGGCTACTAGAGAATGTAAAATTACACACTTGGCCTGCATTGTATTCCTATGGCACAGGCTTGGGCCAAAGAGAATGTTCTAAGACCTTCCTCCACGGTGGCACTGCAGTTTCGTTGCTTTGCACCATCGTCAGAAGAGGGACTAAAGGGTAGCAAAACAACCTTCTCAGTAAACAGAGTGGGACTTATGCAAAGGTGTACTGTGTCCCTTTTGACCTGGGCACTTGGGAAGGTCACACCCCTGTGCCAGCAGGGTGTCCACTTTCACATAGCTTCTGCTTTCTCTGGGAGCCACCTTCAAAGCCTGGGCCCCCTTTTGAAAAAAAAAAAAAAAAAAAACCTCAGAGCTGGCAGATCTTCATCCTCCCAGGAAGGATTTGACTTCTGGAAAGAACCCAACATCCTCTGAATCCAAGTGTGGTGAATCAGGTGGGGCCACGAGCTCAGGAATACCATTTTTGGTCAAATACAAGGTATGACGACACTCAGGCACAGGCAGATTGTTTGGGGTGGCTCATGAACTGGCCCCGAAGTGAATTCCAGGACGGCCACGGGAACAGCTTTTCTGGAAGAAACGTGCCGTCCTGCCAGGGCACCAGCATGTGAACACCACGGTGGAAGCAAGCATTCTCGGTTCTTCACAGTGGCAGCTCACAAAGTATACATTTTTATTTATTTATTTATTTTCAGATTTTATTTGAGAGAGAGCATGAGCAGGCGAAGGAGCAGAGGGAGAGGCAGACTCCGCACCGAGTGCAGAGCCCAAAGCGGGGCTTGATCCCACGGCCCCAAGATCACTACCTGAGCCCAAATCAAGAGTCAGAGGCTTAACCGACTGAGCCACGCAGTCGCCCCTAAAGTCTACATTTTTAAAAATGCCCTTGGTCCCAAGCTTTATGCTTAAGACTGCAACAAGCCTACTGAACTTATCAATACTTAGATTAACTAGTGTTACCAATAGCAACACTGTTATGAATACTTGGAATACAATAAAAAGATGGGGCCTGAGGGTGGGGGGCAAAAAGCCTGACTCAGCAATTAGCTATACTTTGGGCCCATCTCTTGACCTCCTGGAGACTTGATGTTCTCATGAACCAAACAACAATAATATTTATTCAAAGCTATAATGCATTTAGGCTTTTTTTTTTAATGGCAATAAGGCCATATATAACAAGAGCCATAAAAGTGATTATATCCTTTGACTGAATAACTCACTTCCTAGAATTTACAGTAAGGAAACAATTCAAAACAAAAAAGGCTTCAGGTACAAAAAAGTTCACAGCAGCGCTATTCATGATACTGAAAAACAGGAAGCAACTAAAGTATCCAACAATAAAGAAGCAGTTAACCCAATTACGGCACATCGTGGCATATTCCCCCTTCACTAAAATGGCAAATATAAACAACGCATATCAGGTCAGTGGAAAGTCTTTGCAAAGTAACGTTCACTGAAAAGAGACAACAATTTGTATGAACACTGTGACTGCAACCATGTATAAACTTGATTTCATTGGCCGAAGAGCCAAACAGGCTAGGAAGATGTGAATTGTCACCGTAATCGTCACCGTTCAAGCGAGGACTCCCATATTGGACAGCACAGGTGTAACAGGAGAGCGGTTGGGAAAAGGTTCTGGAAAACACAAAATGCCCTACAAAGATTGTGTATGCCTTACGACTCTTATCTAGTTTTCTCTGCACCCCTGCGCTTGACTTCCCAGCCTTCCTGCCAGTGTTTCTGGGTCTTCAATTCCTGCGTACAGAAGTCACATGAGTCCTACTCATCCTTCAGATCTCAAGTAGGAGGCAGTTGCCCTCAGACTCCCTGTGCGAGGCTGCACCCCCCCACCCCCCACCATGGCTGCGGCAGCAGCAAGGAACAAGTCATTCGCCAGATGTGCACCACACCTCACAGTGAGCATCTCCTTCACTTCGCAACAACCTGGGGAGGCAGGTATTACTAATGAGGAGGAAGAAACGGAGGCTTGGAGAGGTTACGCGGCTCAGGGACTACATGGCTGATGAGAGGAAAAGACGGGCTTCAAACTGGCTGGCTCCTCCACAGCCTGAGCTCTTTCCCACTAGGTCAATGGTTTTCAAAGTGCAGGGCTGTGACCCGTCAGGGAGCCATGGAAACCACTTAGGGGGCTGCAAGCAGCAGTTTTTCCTTTTAACTTCATTAGCCAACACTTGATTTAACTAAATAAATGACAATAGAAAATATTACATTAGTGGGGCACCTGGATGGCTCAGTCGGTTAAGCATCTGACTTTTGATTTCAGTTCAGGTCATGAGCTCAGGGAAGTGAGATGGAGCCCCACATCGGGCTCTGGGCTCTGAACGCAGAGCCTGCTTAAGGATTTTCGCTCCCCCTCTCTCTGCCCCTGCCCTCCCCCCCACCCACTTGCTCACAAGCTCACTCTCTCTCTTAAAAAAGAAAGAGAGGGAGGGAGGGAAGGAAAAGAAGGAAAGGAAGGAAGGAAAAACAATCACATTAGTAAGGGTCAGTATTGTATCCTGAAGCTTTTTTTCAGTTACATCCATTTACATCCAAGTATGTGTGTTCTGGGCCAAAATTCAAAACATATTTCTTATTATTTTGAGAAATAAGGAGTCTGGAGTCTAATGTTTTTTACTTGCTCCAATATAAGGCCCTGGACGGCAGGGGCCCTGGGCCCACCCTGAGTTTGTTCCAGGGCCTGACTCAAATATTTGGTGAATGATGAAGCCTATGCCTGTTTCCCACCTGGAAAGCAAGAGCAGATGCCTCAACCAACTGCCTCATTTAACAATGAGGGGGTAGAAGTGGAGAAGCACGGGGCTTGCTTAGGCTTTCCCAGTGAGTCAGGGCAGAGCTGACTGTCCTGCGGTGTCTCTAGCCCTGCGGTGCGCCAGACTTGCTTTAAGAACAGGAGCAGAGGTTTTTATATGTTGGGGAAATCTCATACCCCTACCAGAATTTAATAAAAACCACTTACTCATCTATTACCAAACACGACAAATAATTTCATAAGGTTACTAAAACCCTGAGGCTCATCCCTGAATGCCAGACACTAGTGGTCTGAGACATTCATTCATGGGACACATATTGAGCACCTACTGTGCGTCAAGTATTATTCTAACTCCCACCATGGAGTTTTCATTCAAATGGAAGGGCACTCACACATATACAAATGGAATATAATGTCAGAGCTGAGTATTATGAGAAAATATAAAGAGGGAGTACAATTTTATATGAGGTGGTGAGGGGAGGGCCTCTCTGAGAAGGTGACGTTTCAGCAGAGGCAAAACGAAAGGACAGGAACATCATTTAAATATAGGCTGGAGTACCCCAGGTTGGAGGAACGGCGGGGGTAAGGTCCTGAGGCAGGAATGAGCTTTATGATCAAGGAGAACAGGAGAGTGAGCAAGCTGTGTAGGGCCAGACTGGCCATTATAAGGCCTTTGGCTTCTCCCCTCAGTAAAAGGGGAGCCACTTAAAGGTACTGAGCAAAGATGGCAAGGTCTGACTCATTTTACAATGGTTCCTCTGGGGCGCCTGGGTGGCTCAGTCGTTAAGTGTCTGCCTTCCACTCAGGTCATGGTCCCAGGGTCCTGGGATGGAGTCCCACATCGGGCTCCCTGCTCAGCAAGAAGCCTGCTTCTCCCTCTGCCTGCCACTCCCCTTGCTTGTGCTCCCACTCTCTCTTAAATAAATGAAATCTTTAAAAAACAAAAATAAAATAGTCCCTCTGGCTGCCACTGTGTTGAGAACAGACTGCAGGGGGACAAGAGTGGGAACGCTGAGACCAGTCAGGAGGCTGCTGTGAAACAGTCCAAAAGACATGCCTCCACTGGGGCAGCAGCAGTGGGGGTGATAAGCTCTGGGGTTATGGATATAGTTTGCAGAGAGAGCCAATGGCATTGCTGAGGTAAAATCTGAAAGAAGTAAGTTAAAAATAATCCCTGAAGGGTGCCTGGGTGGCTCAGTTGGTTAAGCGACTGCCTTCAGCTCAGGTCATGATCCTGGAGTCCCGGGATCGAGTCCCGCATCGGGCTCCCTGCTCAGCAGGGAGTCTGCTTCTCCCTCTGACCCTCTTCCCTCTCGTGCTCTCTATCTCTCATTCTCTCTCTCTCAAATAAATAAATAAAATCTTTAAAAAAAAAATAATAATCCCTGAAGGTGAAACTATTCTGTATGATACTGGAATGGTGAGTAACAAGACATTAAGGATTTGTTAAAACCCACAGAACTTCCCAGCACAAAGAGTAAACTTTAATGTATGCAAATGTTTAAAAAAAATCATTTAGGAGGTCAGGGTATCCCAGAATGGAACACAGAATGTGACATTCTGAATCTAAACGTATTACAAATGTATTAAACAACTTTACTGCAAGGGTAGGGGGAATCAGGTGCAGACCTCAGTAACTTTGGAAATGAGTAGTCTGTAGGACTTAAGGTAAAAGGAACTGCATATGTACAGTATTCTCTAGTTGATAAAGTTACTTCCCACAGGCAGCAGACGTTAACAATTCTGAAACCACTATATACGTATCCTGAAATTGAACAGCTGAGTAAACTGATGGTAGATGGTGGGAGCTAGATTAGTCACAGATGGAGTGGGAGGTTACAGATAAGCCAGAGGAGACTAGAAAGATCCATGTGGAACTGATGAGAGTTGCAGACACGAACTCAGATTTAGCTTAATATAGATACACGTAGCTACACAAAGAAATATTTATAGATATGTATGTATATATATAGATTAGTATACACACTTCTGTCTCTTACACTGAGGGTCTAGAAACATGGGCATCCCCGTAGCAATGATCACACCTAACAACCAGGTCTTGGCATTTAGTACATTCTCCAATAAAAGGAAGCAAGTCTCCATGGAGAAATGTTTAATTCTAGGACTGAGGCATGAAATATACAGGATGAGCCTGGAACAGAAAGTGTTAACACACACACACACACACACACACACACTCGCTGGGGCATGTCAAAGGGATAGAGGAGAGCCCAATGACCTAAGCTGGAGCACTTTTTTTTTTTTTTTAAAGATTTTTATTTATTTGACAGAGAGACAGCTAGAGAGGGAACACAAGCAGGGGGAGTGGGAGAGGGAGAAGCAGGCTTCCCGCTGAGCAGGGAGCCCGTTGTGGGGCTCGATCCCAGGACCCTGGGATCATGACCCGAGCTGAAGGCAGACGCTTAACCAACTGAGCCACCCAGGTGCCCCTAATCTGGAGCACTTTGAGCAATAAAATATAGAATTACTGGATTAAAACCCAAAGTATGAAAATAAATATCTGAGCCCCTACTGATATAAATAATTGAATAGGTAAATAAATGGGGGAGAGTTAACAAATTTCCCATGGAGAATTCCACATAATTTATGCAGATACTCCGCCTTTAAATGTGAATGAAGCATGATTCCACACTCTTAAGTGTGGGCTGTATGTAATGACTTTATTCCAAGACTACAATATGGAAAAGGGGAGGAAGGGAAGTAAGTTTACAGTGGAAAAGCTTGACTACTTCAAGCTAGTGATCCAAGTTAACATCAAGTGACAACTTATATTGATAGTATGTGCCCTTGATGTGATGTGATGTGATGTGATGTGATGTGATGTGATGGCACTTTACCTCTGTGGTTTTCCTCCCCCAAACCCCTAACTCCCATCTAATCATGCGAAAAAAAACATCAGACAAATCTCACCTGAGGATCATTTTACAAAATATTGGACCAGTAATACTCAAAACTGTCAAGTTGATCTAACAAGGAAAGTCTGGGAAACTAGCAGACCCCAAAGCAACCTAAGGAGACATGACGACTAAATGTAATACAGTATCCTGGACAGGATCCTGGAACAGAAAAAGGACACTGGGGGAAACTGAGCCAAATGCGAATAAAGCATGGACTTTGGCTAATATTATCAATATTGGTTCATTACGTAAAACACGCACTGTGCACTTAACTAAGCGCTTTGCATACACCATCTCATTTAATCCTTAGATAAAGCCTATGTACCCATTTTACAGAGGAGGAAACTGAGAACCAGGGAGATAACCAGAGAAGGCCTACCCACGATTACACAGTACTATGGGGCCCACTCAGGAGTCGAACTCCGGCCGGAATGACCCCGGAGCCCGGGCTCCTCCTAACACTCCGCCGGTGGCAGGAAAAGGCCAGATCCCGACAGCGAGCGCAGGGTTCAGGCCCGGGCTCCGAGCGAACACACTGGACGACACCGGGGCGAGGCCCTCCACCTCCCAGGGACTCAAATTCCCCTCTGCAAGTAACTTCCTGACGAGCGCCCCGGGAAGTTATTCTCGTCCCGCGCAGGGCGTCCCCGGCGCCGGCCGAGCAGCGCCGCCCGGAGCAGCCGGGCCGCGGCGCCCGGGCCCAACCCCCTCTCCGTTCCCACCGCCCGGGCCACTCCGCCCCGCCCCGAAGCCCGAGCCTGGCCGCCGCGCCGCCGCACTCACCTCCCGCGCCGCCCGGCCGCTCCCCCGGAAGTGGTTCCGCGTGGCGGGTCCCGGAAGTGACGCCCCGTGCAACCAGCGGGCTCCGCTCCGCCCACCTTGCTAGGGTTCCGGCCTTTGTCCCAACTCTGGGAGTTTGAGCCGGAGGAGGATCCCTGGGGAAGCGAGATCCAGACCTCCCCGGTTCCTCTAAGCCCCTTTGTCCCTCAGCTCATTTCAGCAGGCATTTATAGACGTCTATAGGCGCTTTAATTCTATGCGAGACCCTGAGCTAGGAACCTGCAAAGAGGGGAGAGGAACAAGAATTCTTAGCAAACAGAAGCACGTTATTAGAATTCTTTCAAAACTTTGACCGAGGGCCACCTGGCTGGCTCAGTCGGTAGAGCATGTGGCTCTTGATCTCGGGGTCATGAGTTGGAGCCCCACGTTGGGCATAGAATCTACTTGGAAAAAAAGAAAAAATTCACTGAGTACATCTTCTATCCCCTGTGCTGGTTACTGGAGATACAGTGAAATTGTGAAATAATAAATGTTACTGCTTTCAGCCCCTACTTTCAGTGTCATTTGTTATATAGCATAGATAACTATACATAGACGATCAGGACCTAATCTTACCCTCAAGGAGCTCACTCTTAGAGGACACTAATTATAACTGAGGGGCACCTGGGTGGTTCAGTGGGTTCAGTGTTGGCCTTTGGCTCGGGTGGTGGTCCCGGGGTCCTGGGATCGGCCCCTCCTTGGGGTCCTAGGTTCCCTGCTCAGTGGGGAGTCTTGTTTCTCCCTCTCCCTCTCCCTCTGCTCCTGCTCGTGATCTCTCTCTCTAATAAATAAAATCATTTTTAAAAATTAATTAAATTTAATAATAGAATTCAGACAACATCCACTAACTCCATACTATGTGAGGTGGAATGGAGGATACAAGAATGTAGCATTCCTGTATTCCTTCAACAGATACTTACGGAGTTTCTGCCCTGGATTTCCATGTACTATGGAACTGGGAGGACAATAGCAGGTAGATGGGTCCCTACCCTCACTGTGCTCCCAGAGTAGGGGTTAATGTCTGGGGCCTCCATTAATCAATCACACAGAGAATGTATATGAACCCGGAGATGTGTTGGGAAGAAGGGGAAACCATGAGAGAATAAATAACATGGGAGATACAATCAAGACAGGGTGATCAGGGAAGGCCTCTCTGTGGAGGTAACACTTAAGCTAACAAATGAAGAATGAGTAGGATTTTGCAGGCAAAGAAAGGGAGGAAAGAGCATGGTGGGAGGTGGAAAGGCTGTGGGAAAGGTTTGGAGCATAAGAAGGGGGCAGAAGCTGAAGCCTGAAGGGTACAGGTATGTAGGACAAGAGTTGGTACTTGCCCTTAAAGGGGCTCACTGTGGGGTGTGGATGAGGAGGGTCATAGGAAACAGAGTTTGTTTGTTTGTTTTTAAGCTATATTTATTTATTTTGAGAGAGTGAGAATGAGAGAGAAAGAGAGAGAGCACATGAGAGGGGGGAGGGCCAGAGGGAGAAGCAGGCTCCTCGCTGAGCAAGGAGCCCAATGCGGGACTCGATCCTGGGACTCCAGGATCATGACCTGAGCCGAAGGCAGTCGCCTAACCAACTGAGCCACCCAGGCGCCCGGAAACAGAGATGTTTTATGTGTTGAATTGTGTCCCCTCCCAAAAAAACTATGTTGGAGTCACAACCCCCAGTACCTCAGAATGTAATCATATGTGGAAGTAGGGTCTTTACAGAGGTAATCACATTAAAATGAGCTGATTAAGACAGGCACTAATCTAACAAGACTGGTGTCCTTATTTAAGGGGGAAATTTGGACACAGATCTACACCCAGGGAGCATGCCATGTGAAAATAAAGGGAGAGATCAGGATGTTGCTTCTACAAGCCAAGGAATGACAAAGTTGCTAGCAAACCACTGGAAGTTAGGGGAAAGCCACGACACTGATTCTTCCTCCCAGCCCTCAGCTTTGATTTCAGATTCCTAGCCTCCAGAGCTGTGAGAAAATAAATATCTGTTGTTTAAGCCCCCCAGTTTGTGGTACTTTTTTTATGGCAGCCTTAGCAAACTAATACAGATGTGCAGGTGCCTTGAAACCTGTTATTCTGTATCCAAAGGTAAAAGATCCCCAGTGTGGCTCCTGCAGGCATAATTATTGCTCACTCTCTGGAAGCTCCTGGAAGGCTCCAGCTGAGTCTTGCTCATCTCTGTGCCCTGCATGGCTCCATTAGCACCACAGCAAGGGAAAGAGCTCTGGGCCATGCTTGCTCCGATCCATAATATCTATGCAAGTCACACTGCTTGCACCATGAAAGAAAACGTTGAAAACGATATGGTTTCTGCTCTGAAAAAAATTTCTAAACCAAATGAACACATGACAGTGTAAACTGGTTTGTAATTATTAATTATAGCTGCCATTTATTGCGTATTCACTAAGTGCCAAGCACTTGACATATATCAGTATGCTCCTGCCAGCCACCCTATAAGGCAGCTGTAATTATTCTCATTTACAAGGGAAGAGACCTAGGGCTGGAGAAGTTAAGCAATTTCCCAAAGCCTCACAGAGACTACGTACATAACCAGTACACTACCCAGCCAACCTGTGTGAGCCAGATGGGCACCCCAGAAAGAGAGGAAGCATCCACAGGGACTGAGGTATCTGAAAAGGCTTCATGAAGGAAGCATCCCAGATCATGGGCTGGATTGAATATGGGAAAAGGAAAGTCGAGGTGCAAGACTTGCTTTTCTACCTCTGAGCCTTTGCCTTTGTTGGTCTCTGCCTGGAATGCTCTCCTCTCCTGGCTTTGCACAAACCAGGCTCATTCTCATCCCTCAGGGCTCAGCCCAAATACCACCTTTTCAGAAAGGGCTCTCCTGACCACCCTTTCTAGCTGGTTGTTTTTTCTAAAGATGGCTCCAGCGGTGCCCATACCATAGGCTCTTCTGCCCATGACTGCTTTGACCAAGAGCGTACTGTGGAAGGGACTGTCAGCCTCAGGCATGGCACCTACCTGGCCTGGAAGTCAGCCAAGAAAGAAGGGTGACTGGCCTGAGGGGCGCCTGGGTGGCTCAGTCGGTTAAGTGTCTGCCTTCAACTCAGGTCATGATCTCGGGGTCCTGGGATGGAGACCCATGTCGGGCTCCCTGCTCAGCGGGGAAGCCTGCTTCTCCCTCTCCCTCTCCCCCTCCCCCTCCTTGTGCTTGCTCTCTCTCTCTCTCTTAAATAAATAAAATCTTAAAAAAGAAGAAGAAGAAGAAGAAGGGTGATTAGCCTGAAATCAGTGAGCTGTGAAAAGTCTAAGCCATGTGGGAGGAAGAGAATCCAAGGAGCATCAGACACCAGATCAGGGAGTGAAGAAGCCATCTGGGAGAGGTGGAGAGATGGATAGATATGAGATCAAGCAATGATGGTAAAATGTTAAGTGTACAGTCTAGGTGGTAAGTAGAGTGTTTGCTGTTCAATCCTTTTGACTTTACATATTTGAATTTTTCACCACAAAAGTTTGGCCAAAAGAGAAACCATCTTGGAGGTGGATTCTCCAGCCCCCGACACTTCAGCTGACACCAACCACATGGAGCAGAGATGAAGCTCCCAGCCCAGCCTTTTCCAAATTCCTGGCCCACAAAATCATGAGCTAAATAAATGAGTACTTTAAGCCACTAATTTTGGAGGTATAGATAACAGAAACTCTCTAAGCAGACCTCTCTTACTTTCTATCACAGCTGCCTGCCCATTTCTTGTATAGCATTACCACAGTCTGCGATTGCCTTGTTTGCTTGCTTATTCATCATCAGTCTCTCCCCCAGTAGAGTGTAACTTCTGTTTCCTTTGCTCACTTCTCCCAGCACCTAGCACACTGCCTGGTCCATGGAGGTATAAGTGAATGTTTGTTGAGTGACTAACTGAGCCCAAGAGATGGAGCCCTCCTGAAGAGTAACGGGAGAGAATACAGAATTCGTGGGGGAGGGGGGGAAGCTGGCATTTGTCAGTTGGGCTGCCCAACCTCCATTTGTCAGAATGTCAAGAAACAGGAAGAGGTAGCCCCCTCTCCCACTATGGCAGATGGAAGAGGTAAACACACCCTCACCTCAGTTCCTGCTAGAGCATAGAGGCTGGATGTACTCATGACCCGTCAGAATCCACCGCCCACCCCCTGCCCCACCCAGACTGAATCTGGAGGCAGAAATTCCAGCTGTGAAGGTCAGTCAGAGGCAGTGGTGAGTCCAGAGTTGGGGGCCTTGTTCAGAGCAGGCGGTTCTAGGGGCAGGATGTTAGCCACCTGGCTTTGGGGGGTTCTTGCCTGAGCCCAGTTCTGCAGTGTTCCATCACCCCCTTCCGCCTTAGGTTCAGCTCAGGTGTGAAACCAAGAAGCTAAATAAATGAATGCTAAGTGTGGCAGATCCTGATAAATCCAGGACACGGGACCGAAACAAGGGTCCTCTTTCCTCCAGGTGATCTGGGTATCTTCTATGTGCCAGAAAGGCCTGGGACATGTTTCCCTCAGAGGCAGCAGGGCCCAAACAGCAGTGGAGACTCATCACATCCTGGACTCTTTCTCTGGGCCTCCAGGGGCCTCATAACAGGTAACCAACTTTGATTGCCAAGACCTGTTCTTCTCTTGCTTTCTACAAAGTATGAACTCAGGACTAGATTCCACTCTCAGGTGCCCGAGTCCTGTTCCTGTGCTCTAGGATCTTCCAAGAGCAGGTCGGCTACAAGGAGGAGAGGCTCATATTACAATGCTGGGCTCATTAGAGAGGTCAGCAAAGAGAGTTTCCATCAGAAGATAGATTACATGTCAACACCAACCTGGCCTTCCCAGGAAAATCCAAACACTCTCACCTGTTCTTGAGACCCAAGATCTCCCACAGTCTTGAAACCTGAAAAGTTTTATTCAGTAGACATTCATTGAGTGCCAACTGTATGTCAGGTAGACACTGGGGACAAGATCTTAGGCTCCAGTGGGGGAGAGACATAGAAACAAACTAATACAATAGGATATTTTGAGTTCTACAAAAGAAGAA